CAGTAGACTGTCCTGAATTGTGGCGAGATGGCAATAACAAGGACAATTTGTAGATTTCTGGCCAATGCGAGCAGATCATTGCTCTTGCTAGCGGAAGCTACAGAAACAGGAATCTGGCCGAGTTAGAGTAACATCATGGCTGGAGAAGTAGATCGAAGGTGGAAGGATAGCGTCCACCTATCAGGCCTGCCCCATGTTCCCAATGACGACAGACAGAAAACTCACGCATCACCTCTTTTTCCCAGGGTCGGCAGGACACCTAGCAAAGAGTGGATGCCCATCTTCAGGAGAAAGAGGGACCAGAAACTAGCCCTGCAGGAAAGCTGGCACTTTGGTAGATGGGGCACCCCTCTGATGCTGGGCTGGAGAGCCCTGAACTAGACCCGTGGTTTGCAGGGATTCGCGGAGACTGCTCCTTTCAGGGTCACCTCCACGGTCATGTGGGCTTCTCTTCCCATGCCTTCCTGTCCTCAGACCACCAAGTCTCGTTTCTCCTTGTTCGTTTGTCAGTTCTTACGCTCTTATAGAAGCAGCAGCTTTCCGTCGAAGGAAAAAAGAAGTTTCTCCTGGAAGAAGACACACTTGAAAATCATTAAAAGGAGAAATCTCCAAGACAAGCTTCAGATCGCCATTCCTGTTTTTTCCTCATTGGTTGGTTGGTTGGTGTTCTAAACAGAAAGGAGAGTGAGCTTCATTTTTGTTGTTGTTGTTGTTGTGTTGTGTTTGTTTTTTGTTTGTTTGGTTGGTTGGTTTGGTTTTTGAGATGGGTTTCTCTGGGTAGTTTTGTTGCCTGTCCTGGATCTCACTCTGTAGACCAGGCTGTCTTGAAACTCACGGAGATCCTCCTGGCTCTGCCTCCCGAGTGCTGGGATTGAAGGCGTGCACCACTGATGCCGCCCAGGGAGAGTGAGCTTCTTGAAGGAGAATCCCCCACCACTGCATCTTCACCTCTAGGGATGACAAACCCTTCACCAAGGGCAAAGCCAGGACTACACGTCATCTTTCTTGTTTCCATGATCTCCCAGCCAATTTCAACCCCTGGTTTTACTCTGCCTTCAGCAGAGCCCAGAGTGAGGCAGAGAAGCGACACTGAGATGAACTAGAAACTTCTTTCCCCACACCGTTCCTGCCCACAGCCCCAGCATTTGCTGTGTTTAAGGTTTCACTCCTGGAGCAGCCAGGAGCTCCGAGGACCTCTTGATTGATGCTGTCAGTGAGAGGAAGCGCTCTAATGTCAGGAACTGTCTTTTCTTCATTAGGTTTGAAAACATGCCCAGGGGCTACTCTGTGATCTGCTCATCAATAAGTGGAAATCTACTGATAGACTCAAATCCATGCCAAGTGTTAGCAGAGAAAGGACAGGTACCTTGTCAGTTTCCTTCTCCAAACAAGAATCCCCAAACATTGCTGCTGTCGTTCACTGTAGCCTGAGATCTGTGGGGTGAGGGGAAGGCAAGGACATAGCAGCATTGGGATAAGGCTCTTCTGAGTGGGCCAATCCCAGGAGCACAGGGTTCAGTGTGGAGCCAAGAACCCTGTCAATGAGACACTGAGCTTCTGTCAACATCCACTCTCTCCAGGACCATCAGGGAGCTGCTTGGAAATGGCTGTGCTAGCAGAACTCCAAGTACATCACCAATGACTCATTCATGAAGGATCTCCTCACACAGTGTCCAGGAACTGTAGAGGACAAAAGGGGATGGGACTGGATTTATCAGGATTTCTAAATGTCCTTGCAGAGGAGCTAGTGACCAAGACAGACATTTCTGCTAACTTAACGCCCAAGAGAAGGAAAGAAAGAAGTACCAGAGAGCAGCAGAGGGCTGGAAAGAAAACAACTACTCAGAAAACTTAAGCTCCTTAACGCACCTTACAAAAAAAATAAAATTTAAGAATTCTACCTTGTGCCATAGGAAAAAGAAATCAAAACTATGATTTTTTTTTAAAGAGCAAACACCAAAATTGCTATTAAGCCAACAGACATTGGCTTAAGAGCTCTGACCTGCAGATTTCAACAATTAGCACTGAAAGTGACTGTTCACCAATCCCCCTTGATTTCCTTAACATAGAATGGGGTAATGTCAATATTGGCAGACAGTTCTTGAAAGCCCAGCTGTGTAGCAATAAAGCTGCCTTTGCTGGGCACTTGTGCCACAGAGCAAGGACAGGGGTTAGGAGGCCTTGTTAACGTTGGCTCGTGGTGGCCTTTTCTTTTTCTTTTCTTGTCTTTTTCCCTGCTCATCTCCAGGCTGTGCTCTTTGCCAAGCAGCATTTCTTACCACTGAAGTAGAGAAATGACCTGTGCAGCCTCGCCTGGAGCTCACAGAGAGGCTCCAAGGGCCGTGTTGAGCATGCTTCTCCTGCGTATCTACTGTGCTTTGGCACCAGCATCTTGGACTCCTACTGGTACCTATGCAAGCAACTCTGTTTTGTTTGCGGAGCATCCTTTTGTCTCTTTTGTTGTGATGCTCTAAAGCTATTAAGAGTGCATCTTCATTCATTTTTCAGCTAATACTCACTGATGACCTGTGGTGACCCATGGTCTCTGCACCTGCTATAGGGACAGAGACAGAGGAGAAAAGAATAGCAAAACAACATTACCCTGTGGCACAGAGATTCAGCCACGACCAGAGGCAGAGACAACCTCCTTGACGGGAAATTTTGAGATGAATCTGAAGAGAGAATTCCTCAGGTGAAAATTCATGAGGCTAGAGAGAGGTTCCAGAAGGAAGAACCGTGTGAAAAGATGCCTAGAGAACAAAGACTACTGCGCACCGGAGGAATAACTGTCAGAATAGACCACGTAGCTGTGGAACTTAGCACCAGCCATGGGCGTAAAGCTTCTCACCGTTCACGCAGGGTCCCAACAGCTCTAGAAGATATGTAATATGGTTGTTCTCCCTGTCGGATAAAAGAAGGCAATTTCTGAAGGTCGAGCTACCAGGAAGTAGGATTGAATAACAGCTTGTACCAGGCTTTCTTTTGGGCAGCCAACCAGCTCCCAAATCATGACACAGAAACTTATTATTAATAATGAATGCTCAGCCTTACCTTATGCTTATCTCACTAACTCTTACAAAGTATTTTGACCTGTTTCTCTCCGTCTATGTTTTGCATCGGGGCTTTTTACCTTTCTTTCATTCTGTATGTCCCACTTTCTGCTTCCTCTGTGGCTGCCCGGCTGGCAGCTGCCTGCCTGCCTGGCCCCGGGCATCTCCCTCCTTTTCTCCCTCATTCTTTCTCTTTCCTCTTGAGCCTAGATTCTTCCTCCTACTTATTCTCTCTGCCCTCCAGCCCCGCCTATCCCTCTTCTGCCTAGCAATTGGCTGTTGAGCTTTTTGTTAGACCAACCAGGGGCCTTAGTCAGGCAAAGCAACACATCCTTGAGCAAGTTCAACATAGACAAATGTAACACTTCTTTACATCCTTGAACAAATGCAGGATAAACAAATGTAACACATCTTTGCCTAGTTAAAGCAATACTCCACAAGAGCAGCTCTGACTCCAGAGACCACACTCTAGCACCATGGCAAACAGCAGAAGCTCGGCTGAGGAGGAGATGGCAAATGGGAACAATGGTGACCATGGGGCAGGGGCACCAGCATGCAGACTAAGCATTATTGGAAAACTGGTGGACTTAGGCAGGGGTGACAGATGATTAGAAAAATGACTCTGTAGCCATGGCAAAGAATTATGACAGGAAAAAGAGTAAGAAAAAGGAAGAGCATCTTTCAGCATTAAATCCAAAGGAAGCATTTCTAGTCTCTTTTTATAAACTCTGAGACACACACACACACACACACACACACACACATACACACACGTAAATAAACAAATAAATGTTTTTTTAAAAAGATCAACACTTTTTAAATTGTAAAGAAGACTGAAAAACTTGCTTCTAGACAAGATGGAGTGAGAAGAATTGGATTCACTCTTCTGCCGAAAACAAAAACCAAACAACATATATGACACTGAAAATGTATTTTGACCAGTGACTACTTGGCAGAAAAGGCCAGAGTTCCCTGGGAAACACCTGATCCTTATGGCCGCTTGTGTTGACTTTCACTGGTGTGACAAAGTATCTGAAAATACAAGGAGCAGGGTTTGAAAGGTCTGCTTGTGATTTCAGGTTTTAACTCGCAGTCTCCTGGCCCAGTGGATGTGGACCCATGGGGAGGCCCATCGTGCTTGGGGGGAGTGTTGTGATCATATCACAGCACCGGAGAAGGGAAAGAGAGAGGAAGGAGTGGGGTGCCCACATCTGCTGCAAGCTTGCGCCCCTCCCACGACCTTCCACTAAGTCCTGCTTGCCAATGTCACCACAGGGGAGCAACCAAGCAACACGCAGGGCTGTGGGCACGATTCAGATCCACACTCACAGTATTTCCCCAACTTACCGCTTGCAGAAGGTTCCAGGTCACTCTGCGAGGACGGGGATCCACACAGAGCACAGTGCTCTTCCAGGATTAAAGGTGTGAAGGTGGTTTTCTTGATGATAGTGAAGGTATCCAGGGAAGAGACTGAGGTGGAGGAGCTGCAGAGACAGAACCCGGTGGAGGGCTGAAGAGGGTCAGTGTAGGCCAAGCATTGTCCAGCTGAAGGAAACAGGGAAATAAGCAAGGCCAGTGGGAAATGGAAAAAGGAAGGGGGCCGCTCTGCCAGGCAGGACAGCAATGGTGACTGTCCAAGATAAGGTTGCTGTAGTTTTAAACTGCTCTGAGCTGGCCTGAAAAAGTAGAGCCTTGATCTTCCAAATAATTTTACAGTGTCTCAGAATAAAGCTCAAAATGTTTATAAGAACACTAAAATACATGACACCTAACAAGAACAAATTCATAATCTCTGTGATCCAATAAAAATAGTCCTACAAAGATGTAGAAAAAAATGTCAGCATAATTAAAAGAAAAATCAAGGAATTCAGACTTGTCCATGGTAGAATTAGTAGACCAGAACATTGAAAGTGATTAGAATAATGTTGTTACATTCAAGAAGACAGAAGATTGCTCACTCACTTCAGCAGCACATACACTAAAATTGGAATGATACAGAAGATTTGCATGACTCCCGCTCAAGGGAGACACAAAAATTTGTTAAGCATTCCATATTTTCAGAGAGGTGTGGAAATCCGTGTTGCAACACCTGAAGGACTGATTGACATTTTAGAGTACGGGGAAACCGATTTGAGAAGAACAACCTACCTTGTCCTCAGTAAAGCTGATAGAATGATTGACATGAGCTCTGAACCCCAACTAAGGACAACTGTGGATCAATAAGGACCTTACAGGCAAATTCTAATGTAGAGCTTGGCCAAGAGAAGCAAGGCAGTTTGCTGAAGATTTCCCGACAGACCGTATTCATATCAATATCGGTGCACTAGAACTGAGTGCAAACCATAGCAAAGATGGTAGATGTGTGTCATGATGTAGAAAAGGATGGACTTATTCATCTAATGAAAGAGATCATCCATGAGGAGAATAAAACCATTGTTTTTGTTGAAACCAGAAGAAAACGTGATGAACTTGCCAGAAAAAATGAGACGAGTTGGGTGGCCTGCCATGGGTATCCATGGCTACAAGAGTCAAGAGGAGCAAGGCTGGGTTCTAAAGGAATTCAAACATGGAAAAGCTACTCTGATCACTATCGATGTGGTCCTCGGAGGGATAAGTGTGGGAGATGTGACTACCCTACCTCCTCAGAGGATTATACTCATCCAACTGAAAGAACTCCTCACAGCATCCAAACAGGCAGAGCATACACTTTCCTTACACCTAATAACGTAAAGCAAGGGAGCCATCTTATCTCTGAGATTTGGGAAGCTAATCAAGCAATTAATCCCAAACTGCTTCAGTGGATGAAGACAGAGGTTCAGGTCATTCCAGGGATAGAGGAGGCATGAAGGATGACCATTGTGACAGGTACTTTGAGGGCAAAAGGGTGGATTTAATACCCTTAGAGACAGGGAAAATTATGACAGAGGATACCCTAGTCTGCTTAAGAGAGATTTGGGGGCTAATACTCAATGGTGTTTACAGTGCTGCAAATTATACCAATGGGAGCTTTGGGAGTGATTTTGTATGTGCTGGTATACAGACCAGTTTTAGGACAGATAATCCAACAGGGATTTACCAGAACATTTACAATAGCACTCAGCAATCTGGAAGTAATGTTGCAAATATTCACAATGGTGTGCACCAACAGGCATATGCAGATCCTGCTACCACAGCTGCTGTGCCTATGACCTGCTATCCAAGGCCAACAAGATATTCTCAATAAGACTTTAGAAGTGAGTCTATGCAAATGTCTGTTTTCATAACTGTTCTCTATATTATGTCATCAGACGAGATTTAAGAAAGATGGGACACAGAAATGACCTCAGTGCAGCAGTAATTATGTGCACTTCTTTCCCCATTTAAACTGGACATTTTTCTCCATTCCTGAAACAAGTTTTAGGGTTTTCTTTTTGTCCTAGAAAATTCAGGCAGTGTTTTCACAAAAGTAATTATACAGTGATTTCAAATACAATAAATGAAAGCTGTGCATGGCCTTCCAGTAAGAGATTTGAAGACTGAAAGAAAAAAAGAAGATAAAAGAATATTTGATCATACCAATTAAAAACTGAAAGATAATTTATGGAAAAATGACCCAAGTCAAACTTCTAAAGAAAGAACTGCAAGGTCTGAATGAAGCATATTCGAGATCAGATAAAGAGTGGGTTGGACAGCGCTGAAGAAAAAATTAGCAAGTTGAAAACACAACAGAAATTTTCTGAGTTGACAGAAAATCAGGAACCTGCAAGCTGTGGTCCCATGACAAGAGGCCCACGACTCATGTGTCTGAGCCTCTCAAAGAGGTGGACAAACGGCATTAAGGAATGTTCACCAAAATTTTAAAATACTTTTTAAAATTATAAAATTCACCCCCCCACACACACACCAGCAGTAAACTATGCTAAGGCACATCATTATCAAATTTCTTAAAGATTAATGATAAAGAAAAATATATTCACACAGAAAAACAAAGATCTAAATGGAGCTCAATTTTACTTGGAAATAACATGAACCAGAACACATTGGAGTAGTATTTCTATTGTTATTGAATACACAGGTAAGTTGTCAATATAAAAATAGTCATTTAAATAAGGACAGAATGAGGATATCTTTAAATATATGAAAGCTAAAATAATTCACAATGAAAAGACATCCATTACATGAAGTGCCACATATTTCAAGCAGAAGAAAGAGTAGAAGATGTACATCTGAAGTACAGAGAAATATGAAGAGTACTAGAAAAGAAAACTAGATGGGCAGATATGTGTTTTATGTTGTTTAAATTACTTAAAAGATAATTGGTTATTTAATGCAAAATCAAGTTTAAATCTATTGTGAGTTTTATAATATACATGAACAGATAATGGCACAAAGGTCAGGAGAGGAGAAATGTCAGTCTACTCTTACAAAGAACATAAACTATAGGCATAAAGCAGTATAACTCCACTTCATAGTAGATTTGATGAGGCACTACACTATGAAGTGGGCATGGCTTCATATTAGCAAGAGGGACAGCGACAGAGAGAAAGCCCATTTAGCTGACAGAAACACGGGACTCATCATGTACTATGGTAAGGTATGCGTAATGGTCAAGGTGGTCATGTGGAGAGCAGATACCTAAGTGGATGTGTACAGCTGACATGAGCATGGCCATGTCAAGAACCCTAAAGCCCCAGGCCCCTGGGAAAGGCAGGGTCTTTCTTGCCCAGGTCAGGCTCTGGGGAAGAGCAAGGCCTTCTGGTCCAAGCGTAGGTATTGACAGCGTGTTCAGGAAGGGTCAACTACAGCTTCCTCCTCCCAAATGACAGCAGTCTGAGACTACTCCCCTAGACAGACCCCCTGCCAAAATTACCTAGCCTGCCTCATCATTCATTCAGCTGTATATAATAACCACGCTGAGTTTCTGGATGCTGGTACATCTCCATGGAGGTGCACAGCCCACCCAACCCTGGCCTTCCTGTGTGCATCTGTCAATTCCCTGTCGCCCCAGCAACCCAATCGCAAACCATGCAGGTTGCTGCACAGCTGCAGCTGTTTTAATGCTGCATTCTTCTCTTGCCCATCGGAGTCCCAGGAAAGACAGCTCACAAAAATGATATCATGAAACGTCATCATCATGCTAAGTATTGTTCTAGCTTATGTTTTCCTCTTTACCCAGACTGCTACAATCTGTTATTACATAAATGACATCTTATAACTTGAAGCCAATTGTATATGGACTTCAGTTTTATCATATTTCCAATTACTCATAAATTTTCTGCATTTAGGAAGGTAAAGGTGAAAAAGACTGATCATACATTATCCAACAAAATAAAATCTCCTAAGGAGGTTGTGGAGGGATCTTTCCTGCTTACCTTCAGCAGTCCTAGAATTCTAGTGTTGCTGTTTTTCCGATGCCAAGTCTCTGAGGGCAATGCTAGTATGCTGATATTAATAGATTTAGACACAGCCAGAGGCTGCTCTGCTCCTCACCAGGTAACAGTGTGTGGGTTAGAGCTTTGATTGAGATTCAGTCTCTGACTTCATCCTGAGCCAGGTGAGCTATTCTTCTGAAACAATGACCTTCTCTTGGAGTACTGCTAGGTTCTCCAGCAGCAGTGAGTGAGGGCGGGGCCTCCACACATCGGACAGGAATTCCATGTAGTCTCCCATGGCCTGCAAAGGCCCAGAACAATGGTACCCTCTGTGGGAAGAAGCATTTTCTTCTGCACAAACAGAAGAAGCTAGAGAGCTGACTCAGGTGGTGGGTTGTCACAGGGAGAGTACCAGGTGTTATGCTGCTGCTGGATGAAACCATCTATAAAGGCCAATTATGTCAAGTTAGTTTACAATGTGTAGATCCTACACATCTGCATTAATTTCTAACTGATCTGTTATTGAGAGATGTTGAGTTTCTCATTATAATTGTATATTTTTATAACTCCTTATAGTTCTATTAGTTTTTTTGTTTTGTGTATTTGGAAATTCTGTTTGTTATTTTCTGATAAATTTAAGTCTGTTATATCCTACTGGTGTATAGACTATTATTATAAAATTGTACTCTTTTTAAGGATTTTTTTATCTTTATTGTATATGTATGTGTGTATGCATACCTGTTGGTCTGTATGTGCACCAGAGTCATGCAGGTACCCACAGAGGCCAGAAGAGGGTGTTAGGTAGTTGTAAGGCACCCAGTGTTGGTGCTTGGAGCTGAAACCCTGTCCTCTGTAAGATCAGCAAATACTCTCCATGGCCTTACCATCTCTGCAGCCCCAAATGGTACTCTTTATCCCCAGTAACACCATTCACTGCTTAAATTATCTAGTCTGATATTAATATAGACATTCTAGCTCTTCAGTGTTAGCATGGTAGAGCTCTTTCTTTCAATCTGCTTTACTATAGTATAACTTATTTGTATATTGATCCTTATAATGACTAATTGCTGTGGTCATTATTATGGCTTAGCTGAAATTCAAAATCTTTCTATTTTTTCCTAGTAGAGACATGTCTATTTTGTTCCTTTTCTCTTTTCCTATTTCCTTTGGACCAATAAAATACTGCTTATGATTCCATTCTATGTCTAATGTTGTTGTTCTCATTTCTTTCTGTTCTTATTTTAACAGTTGTTCACTTAGCTAGTATGGCTGTTTTAGCTATTCAGATGATTAAATTAAAAAACTGTTGGTGCACTGTAAATACATAAAGGTTTTGCTCATTAGCTACACCTGAAATGAACTGTGAACTAGATTAAATAGCTCAGCGTGTTGACACACGCACTTGGTAGGATAAGGCAGAAGATCCACAAGCTCAAGGGCGGCCTCTGCCACACAGCAAGACAACGGGATGGCAGAAAACCATACTTTCAAATGATAGAAAATGTTGGGGTGGCAGCACCTTCTACTTGAGCTCTGAGATCCAGACCTGCTCATAATATCATCTTGTGGTGCCCACTCAAAGACTTAAAACACTACTAAACTCCTCTTGGAAGATGAATTGTCCTGTGGAAAACAGAACAATCGGTGAGAGTGAGGTGCTGAGTGAGACATGGATGTGAATGATGCCTCTCAGAATGTCGTTTATGGA